CTTATTCACAAGTCTTTGGAAGGTCGCCCCAACATTTTTCAGTCCGAAGGGCATGACCTTGTAACAGTACAAGCCGAACTCGATTATGAAGGTTGTTTTTTCCTCGTCGGTTGGGTCCATCCTGATTTGGTTGTAGCCCGAGTAGGCGTCTAGGAAGCTTAGCAACTCATGTCTCGATGTCGCATCTACTAGGCGATCAATCCTGGGGAGGGGGAAGCAATCTTTCGGGCAAGCTTGGTTCAGGTCGGTGCAATCGACGCACATGCGCCATTTGTCGTTTGCCTTTTTTACCAGTACTGGGTTGGCTACTTAGCTCGAGTAATGAGCTTCTCTGATGAAATCTGCTTCGATGAGCTTCTTGACCTCCTCATCGACCGCCCTCCAGCGTTCTGGGGCTGGGTTGCGTTTCTTCTGTCTAATGGGTCTGACTACGGGGTCAGTATTGAGCTTGTGAGTTATGAGCACAGGGTCTATGCCAGGCATTTCTACCGCGGACCAAGCAAAAATATCTAAATTTTGAAGTAAGAAACTTACCAGTTCGGATTGTAGAGGTTCTTGGATGGAAGCACCAATCTATAGCGTCCGAGCTGGGTCTGTCGACGAGTTGGTCGAGTTGGTCGCCCCGCGCTACTCCCACACCAAAGTCCATGGGGAACTCCATCACCAAATAGTAGGTGGAGACCACCGCCCGTAAGACATGGGTGATTGGTCACCCTACTATGGCGTTGTACGGGGAGGGGGTCGTGACCACTAGGAAGTCGTGGTTGAGTCTGACCGCACAGGGCCACGTGCCGACCTCGACGGGTACTGTCACTTTCCCAAGGGGCTTGACTTCTTTCCCACTGAAGCCCACCAAGGGAGTGTTCGCGGGCTTCAAGTCACTTCTCCGCAGCTGGAGCTGGTCAAACGCCGATTTGAATAGAATGTCTGTCGAGCTGCCTGAGTCGACAAGCACGCGCCTGACTTCGAAGTCGTTGATCCTCAGCTTTATCACAAGTGCATCGCCGTGAGGGTAGTGGAGCCCTCGCGCATCGTCTTCTGTGAAAAGAATTGGCTCTTCCACCTTCGGCCTTTTTGGAGGATTTTGGTCTTCTCGGGCAGCTTCGCGAACTGACATCCGAGCCGCTGCCGAAGTGCACCCTGCTACAACCGAACCTCCCACTATCACGTGGATGGTCCCCCGAACTGGCCTCTCTTCCGGAGGCTGCTTCTGTGGCTGTTCGGCCGGCCTGCTGCTAGATTCAGGAGCATCCTTGCCGCGCTCCCCTTGCCGACCTGTCTTACTATTATTAGTATTATTATTGTTACTACTATGTTGTACAAAATTTCTTAAGTACCCGCGGTGGATGAGTTCCTCTATCTCGTCGCGGAGATTATTACAATTTTCGGTACTATGACCATGATCTCTATGGAAACTGCAGTATAGGTTTTTGTTCCTCTCGTTTGGGTTCCCTTTTAGGCGAGGTGGCCACTTTACGTACGGGGCGTCCTTGATCGTCATTAAGATCTCAGCCCGCTTTGTGTTCAAGGGCGTATAGTCTGTCCAATCTGCCACAGGAGCTTGGAATGGCTGGCTCGGTTTCAGCGCTCGAGCTGGATCCTTCCGGTTGTCTCCTTGGCTGGGGAGTTCTTCTCTCTTTCTTTTTTCAAACCTGCCCCCAATCCTTTGATGGATCTCCTCCTCCGTTCGCATGAACTTGTCCGCAAGATCAAGGAATTCGGCGATGGTCGTGGGCTAGTTGGCCACTATGTGCCATTTGAACTCCTTGTGCATCACTCCCATCTTGGCTGCCGCGAGCTGAACTGCGGGGTCCAGGCGTGGGATCTGTAGGCATGCGTCGTTAAACCGTTTGATGTAGCTGCGAATGGGCTCCCCTTCCTTCTGGACCACGCCAAGGAGGCTCTCCTCGGTTCGGGGGCACTACTTGTTGGTTACGAAGTGCGTGGTGAAGACTTGTACGAACTGGGCCCAGCTCCTTATTGACCCGGGGGCCAGGTTCCTGTACCAGGTGCGAGCCACTCCTCTGAAGGTGGTGGTGAAGGCTACGCACATATAGGACTCGCTAGCTCTCGCCAGGTGCATCTGGGACTGGAAGGCATTGACATGGTCGCTGGGGTCAAAGGACCCGTCATA